TGCTTATAAAAGGATTTCCTTGGGTATGACTACTGGCTACTTTTATGCTTTTATGCTCTTCTGGATTGTTTGCCATGTTTATTGACCCCTTGTGTATGACCCGAGCCTTCAAATTCTTCCCTTTTGGACTTTTACTTTGCCTCCCGTGTCCCGTATTTTGCTCTTCATCTTATGCTTTAGACTCTTCAATGCCTATTAGGGAACATGAGCTAAAAATTTACATTAAAAAGTTGCCACAAGAGAGAAACTCAATTTCTTCATTTAATATTAAAACCCATTAGTTTAATTGGGCCCTTTGCTAGTGAATATCCAATGTTATGTTGAAGCATGTATTAAAAGTCATTCTGGGAAACGCTTAAAATGACAAATGAAAGTAGAAGACCAGTGAGAGGTTATCGAAACCCAAACTGCGGTGCTTTTTTTTCACAAATTAACTCACGAATATATTGATGATTTGTCAGGTGATTTTTTTTCCTTTAACAGTTCACTAATTCATAAACCTCAGCATGCAAGCAAGGCGCTAGCACTGCCAGCGTTGGGAGTTGAGGTCCTCTTTGTGGCTTAATGGACAGAGCAAGGCACTAAAGAATGAAGGGTTCTGTTCCCAAAATGAGCGCTCCCACTGCTAAATGGCACTTTGGAGCGAAGCCTCGGCCAAATGGCTCATATAAATTTATTGTTTTGTGTCAAGCAGCTAATCCATGCCAACACTGATACTTTTTTTTCAGTTGGGCTGTTTAGTTGCTCATTTTGCTCCCTGTTGGCCGTTACCGAGGCAACATCTGTTCTGCGCAGAAGAAGATGACTTTTATTTGTATCACGATGGCCTGATGTTTGTGATCAACGCCGTCCTCCCAAACAAAGCTGCTGTTGTCTGCTCTCGTGTTGCTCTGCTGGTTAATTAGCTCGAGGCTTCAGTGCTGGCAGTCTGGATTATGAATATGCTAAATAAAAAGGGGCTGCTTAATAATTCGATTACAAAGTTTATGCTGTTTCCTCCCTCGCTGAGGTCTGCTGCTGTGACCTCGTGTTTGCCTGCTTGCGTGTGCACAGTGAGAGGATTTAATTGTAAGCCTGCATGTGACACATATTTATGTTTATACGCCTACAAGCATCTCATATCCCCTCTCTCTTCCCCTTTCATTAAGCTGCCACAGCCAGTGTGTGTAATGCCTGTAATGGAGGGTTTCTGTCATTTCAGTGAGATTGTTCACAGCTCACAGAAACTCAGCTAATAGCTAATTACTACAGAGAGACAGAGGGAGGGAAAAATAGAGTAAATGGAGATGAGAGATAGTGAAAATGTGGTTTACTGTTAGCGCTGTGTGGGTGAATAAAGTGCAGTGAGTTGAACCGAAATGATGAGATACAGCAGTAGCTATGACTTACACTTGGTATCAACATGGCTCTATATGTGGAAGTCCTGCCTGAATAGAAGAAAACATGATGTGCTTGAATGCAAATGCAGAAAACATCGCAGCCAGCCATATGACAGCCTTTGTTGTGATCTCTTCTACGCACTGCGTTACAGCTTATATTGTATGTACACTGAATGCCACTGAACTGTACAGTAAAAGGTGGATATAACCGATGTTTAAGTGCCTTAAACTTGCATTCTTTCTGATGCAGTCACAGGTGTCGGGTCATATTAATTACACTTTGATCGTGATTTTGTAAATTATTGACTCGTTCAGCATCTTCTCAGTGAACAAGTCGCCACTGTACATGTATGAACATGCGGTCAAGATGGTGTTTGCCAAAATTCTCAGCTCAAGGCTTTCAAATTAGACTTTAAAAAGTGCGTTAAAGAGATCTCACAGAGGTTATGTGTACGCTTGTATCTGTTATACACACTCCATGGTTCCATGGTTTCTCTGGTGCCCAGCTGGATTGAGATCTGGAGCATCTGATATTCAGGAAGTTGTTTTTGAGGTCAGCAGATCAAATTGTCCTATGGGGACGAGCAGGGGTAGTGACGTTAGAGAGTCCTATTTTTTCATTGTGGTGAGGGAGTGTGCTCGAATCAGTGTTGAGGTGTGCGGTCCAAATAACGTCTACATGAATTATTCCCTGCAGCTGTCAGTTGTTTGAATATCATGGCTGATCTGTTTGTAAATGTGCACGCTAGGGCAGGTGAACATGCAAAGAGACTCCAGTGAGGTCAGAATGGGATCTGATTGATCTGGCTAAGGTTCTGATTGAGTAGGTGATCCGGCTCACTTGGTTAAGTATGTGATCTATATACCAACAGTGGTGCAGGAACCAGGGTTTAGGTCTCCTCCAGACCTTTTTCTGCATTTAAGTACCCCTACTCTCTACCTGCTTTCTTGTCCACTCTGAGCTGTCCTGTTGAGGCTAAAAATGCAAAAAAAATACATTTTAAATAAATAAATCAGCCAGACCACATCTAGAGGTGGGTTGTTTCTTTGTGTGTTTAAAGGCAGCAGGTAAATGATGTCTGTTTTTACTTCCTTCCATTTCTCCTTCCTCCTGCAGCCGCTCATCTGTTCGCTGTGGTTAAAATAACAGCTGGATCATATTCAGAAGTAGTTCAGACTGCAAATGACGGCGAATCCTGACCTTACATATATATGCAAATACTACATTACATTACAGCACAGAGGTTGTGTTGCTGTATCTGAGATGAAGCTGTTCTGTTTGTTCTCATTCTCTTTGTATGTGATTAATAAATTACCTCTTGGTTTCACAATGCATTTTGTCAGTCATAATCACACATGCATAAAATTATTTTTGATGTCTCACATAGTGTTAAATAAAAAGGCCAATTATGCACCTCCTGTTTTTATATTTAGGAAAACAAAATCTGCAGCCTGAGGATCAAATTAGAGACATAACATCATTTTAAGTCCCAAAGCTCTCTTTCTCATACATACCTTGTATAAATCAACAAGAGGAATATTCAGAGTAGCACATGGTCACCATTAATGATTTTTAGCCTGAGTGTGATGTAAGTGTGTGGTTGTGCGTTTGCAGGAACACACGTCGTACAGCCGAGGTGTGGATGGATGACTTCCGGCTCTTTTATTACTCCGCTCGCCCGGCAGCACGAGGCAAATCCTACGGAGAGTAAGAACACACAAGTACATCTGACTCTCACATGACAGTGTGTCATCTGCGTTGCCTCTTAGTCCTCAGATATTCAAACAAGACTGGTGTTTCTTTATTTGCACCAAAGCACGGGGACTTGTAGTATTGTCTTACCACAAGTAATTTAATGGAAATGTACCCTAACTTTGTTCACCATTAAAATTCAAGCATAAAGTAAAAGAAAGGGACAGATTGTTACATTTTACCAAAGTTAACTCACAGAAATATAAACTCCTTCCTTTATCAAGTTAACTGCCCCTAGCAGCTACCACAATCAAACTGAATTAGGGCACAGAATAAGGCCATAAAATAGTGTGTTCATTGATTTGCACAATGGAATAATACAATCAGAGAAACTAAAAGGGTATTTCCTTTAACTCTTAGTTATTTAATGTGCTCTGAAAGTGTTGCTTTTGTTTTCTTTCAGCAATTTAAACAGTGAGAGGACTGCAGCTCAGCTTTTCAGCCTGGTGTGTTACTCTTAAAAAAATAAGGGTTAAGCCTAAAATAAATGGTTTATCTGTTTTGATAGCAGAAAAGATATGAGTATCAGAAATGCAGCCAGTAATAGACGCTGGCGACAGTTGTTGGTGAATACATGTCAGTGATTATCAGTCCTGCACATGTAGATGATGCTGCAGCTCTGCTTTAAGATTTTACCTGTTTTCATATCACACACCTCCGTTATTGGTAATGGTTGAACTCTTAGTTTGTCATTACTTGTGTCAGTTTTATTTTGTGTAGTTGCCTTATTGCTTTTTCTCCCCATATGATAGTGGCAGAGAAAAATCATTTTAATGAAAGTTGTTTGCTGATCATCTGCCAGCTTCTGTATCAATCTGATTGTCTGTTTCTGCCTGTGTTCAGTATCCGAAGCAGAGTGGAACTTCGGAAGAAGCTCAACTGTAAATCCTTCAAGTGGTACTTGGACAATGTCTACCCAGAGCTCAAGTAAGTATGTGTGTGTCTGTGTGTGTGTCTGGAGACTTATCTGTCTAGGAAAAGCTCCTGCTGAGTATGCAAAGTGAGAAGAGAATTTTTAAAGCTAATGCCGAAAGTGGCTTAAATACTGCCTGGCTCATTGTTATGATAAGATAATTTCTTTTTGTGCTTTTCTACCTTTTTGTTTATCCTCAACTTCTAAAGAAGAACATTTTGCTGTATACACTTAAAGTTTACTTTGCTCCCCATAGGGGATACCTCTATCTCTGCGAAGCTTTTTTAACAGCTTTGTAAAACTGAGTGAGTTATTCCTTTTTTTAAAAAACAGGGTCACAGACAAGTTTTACAGATTAGCCATTATCCAGGTCTACGCCAGCCTCTGCTGCTGGAGTTGTAAATGTTCTGTTTTTAATCTGAGTCCTGGATTCTTTAACGCTAATTCTATTCATAAAAAAGTGATTTATGCTTGGCCAATCTCCCCTTCGAGGACAACCACTTTAATCGCTTCAACCACAAGTGCCGTTGTGACCATTTGTGATTTGTCAAACTCAGGCAGCTTTCATTTCAATGTTCACTGCTGTTGATTATATCTCATGGATAAATCAGTAAAACCACCCAGAGTGTCTAAACCATCAGGTTAGGCGTGGGTTTTTTGTTTTTGTTTTTTTCACAGTAAACCGTCAATGCAGGTCTCAACTTCAATGTCACAAGACATCTGAGGGAACATATGTTTTAACTTTTTGTACAGATCAATACAATAATTGCTCCCCAACCACTTTACCTAATTGATTTTAATGCAATGGCAGCACCGTTTATAAATGCATACATATGAATACTACAAGTAGTAGTAGCAATGTAGAGCCACTGGTGCATAACTAGCGATAAAGCTCAGCTTGGTTTTTTGCGCTCAAAAACACAGCTGCAGCAGCTATAGCATGGCTGCTCATGAATGGAGTCTGATCAGCACTTTGTATATGGCTTATTTAGCAACTCACAAATGCATCACAAGTTTTACTAATGTTTGCATTCACTGCCGCCACCTTGAAATGTTATGAAAGCAGCAATGGTTAAGAGATGTGTAAGCAGTTTGCATCATTTCCAATGTTAACAGCTATGACACCCTGATTTGAAGGTGTGAAGAAGCAAAGGTCCCACTGGGTTTGCGTCAATGTGGGACCTTTGCTTCTTTTTTTCCCCCCTCACTTCTTACTTTCGCTTCCATTAAAAACTACTTGGTTGTGGTCATGAAAAGAGGTTCAGGTTAAAGTATGCCCTTTCACACCAGTAGTGAAAAATGATGAGTTGTAACTGGTCGCTCTCATTTACCTTTGCATAAATGTGCAACTCAAGCAGTTTTCAACCACATCTGCTCACATATACAGCCCATTTCCATGTCCTCTTCAACGCCTAACTGTCTCTGTGGGTTAAATGTCTCCCCATGTCCTGATTGGCTGAGTTCCCATGGGATCTGCTTCCTCAGACTGACTCCCCTATCTGCACACAACACACACTCACACACAAATATAACTAAACGGCCACACTTAAGTGTGCCCTAAGCTCTGGCAGTGACTCTTCCTTACAAGCACACAACCTAGCAATGCAAAATACCTTTAAGACACATAAACACTTTCATTTAAATGCTTCCTCTCCCTTTCACACACTTTAGCACACACACACACACTCCCACTTAAATACCCATTTATCCACTGGAGGCTGGTGTTAATCCCCCAGAATGGAATTAACACGGTTGCTCTCAAGGGAAGACAGACCTGACCCTTAAAACGCAGAATAACCTTTAACGGGTTATTAAAACAGAGAGAGATAGCAGATTGAATTAATGCTACAGGGCTTAAGCCCGAGTTTATAGCACAGTGGAGACTTTAACAAGAAAGAGTGAGAAAGTTTATCACAGAGGAAGACAAGGAAGAAACTTTCTGAAGTAATGAGTTTAGAGAATCGTGGCCTTCAGCAGATTTTTTTAAAGGTGCAGAGCATCTTTTTTTTTTCCCAAACACTGATAAATTTCTGTCAAATTAAGAGTGTGATCTTGATGTGGCTAATGAGACCATGCAGGAGATGATTAAAGTCTCTGGTCTCATCACAATGACATTCCTATTATAGTTTAACTTTAGGCCAAACTTCCTCTAAAGGCTATTGCTTCTTTTTCAGATATGTGTGTTCTTGGAGATTAAGTACGTATTTTAGTGGTAGAGTTTTTATAGTTTCATGTTGCTCCACATCCGTACGATGCAATGAATATCTTAACTGAAAGGAGTCTCATTTTCTCCATCAGGGTCCCAGACGACTCCGACTCACAGTCTGGAGTGATCAAACAGAGGCAGAACTGTCTGGAGTCCCGCAAGGTGGAGGGTCAGGAGATGCCCGTCCTCACATTAGCTCCCTGCACGGGAACTGAGGGCGTCCCCGCCATCAATCAGGTGGGTCAGTCAGCAGTTTGAAAGGAAGAGACAGAGCTTGGAGGAAATGCTGAAACTGTCACTACTGTGAATCAGCAGGGACTACTAGAAATGAAAGAGTGCTGTTTCTTTTATTAAAAGCAGGATGGCAGTTTTATATTTCAACAGTTTAGTTCCTGGTTTGCATTCATTTGGTTCTACGGAGAATTTTATTTTGTTGCAAATTTTAAAAATGTGAAATAACTTTTACAAAAGTTGCATTGATGCTATATCTAGGGAAATCTAGGAACAAAACAAGAAAATGTTTGAAATGCAGATCTCTTTCTTCATAATAATACAGTATTTTTAAAAAGTGATGTGTGAAGGGGTCAATCATCCAAAGCAGGGGACAGTACAGAAGAGAGGTGAAGAAAGAAGAAAGTGCAGGCAGGGTGGAGTTGGTGGAGATGCATGTCTGGTTGACAGAAGGATAGAACCAAGAGTGAAAGAGAAAGTTTACAAGATGATAGTGAGACCTGCTGTGATGTGTAGTTTGAAGTTGGTGTCACTGATAAAAAGACATGAGGCGGAGCTGAAGATGTTGAGATTTTCATTGGGAGTGACCAGAATGGACAGGAATGAGTACATGAGAGGGACGGCTCAGGTTGAGATTTCTTTTATTATAGTGGGTATATTGGACAAAGGATGTTGAAGCTGGAGCTTCTAGGCAGGAGGAAAAGAGAGAGACCTTCATGCGGTGAAGGAAGAGATGCAGAGGATTGGTGGGACAGAGGATGAGAGCGAGGTAGATGATCTGCTGCCAACACAGCCCCTAAAGGAAGCAGCTGAATGAAAATGTAACACATGAAAAATTCAGTCTTCAGCAATAGCATTTTGTTTGCCAAACTCAAAACTTTAGGGCATGAGAATAATTTGAAATCTGTTGCAATAGCATGGAAAATTCTTCTTATAGTGGCTTTCACCTGATTGTGAGTGTGCGGAAAAGCTGCAAGTGCAAAATGGTGGGCTGAACGGATTTAAAAAAGAAAGAAAGAAAAAGGATGAGGAAATACTGCTCAACCTCAGCTTTCATTGTATTGTCTCTCACTTGCCATTTTCCAGAAAATTGTTCCCCTAAAACACACTAAGGTTTTAAAATGTGTGTTTTTTTGTGTTTGCGACCTTTATGTGTGCATGCTGTGTATAAAATCTGCATGTACAGACAGGATTTAAAGAGAAAAAAAGCTTCTCTTTCTGACCTGGAGCACACAACAGAAAATAGTTGGTCATATACTTTCTCACTATTTGACTGTTTGGTTTAGGTGAAGGTGCTGCTGAAATAGAGCAGGCAGGAGCAGGACACATGACGCCCTGTCACTCGCTGTAAATTCACAGGACGTCAGTGCGAGTGTGAAAATGTCTTGTTTGTGTTCAGCCAGTTATTTTTTACTCTTCTCTGTGTTTATGTGTGTATGTCTGACCTGCTCTCACTATGTTCATTTTTACTTACTTTGCACAGCAGCATGCTGAGGAGCGTGTGTGTGTGTTTCCCTTTCTCTGAGCTATAATTAATACCCGTAGGATTCGTATTATTATTTCATGTTAAGAACAAGTGTGAAGGCTGCGCTTCACTCTAAACAAGCCGCTGCGCAGAAAGCAAATGTGTCAGCAGCTGGGATGCCTAAAGGCTGGAGAGCTTGGCTTGTGGCTGGAAGGTCGCTGGTTCAGATCCCTGAGCTCAAAGGGAGAACCGCTGAGATGTGTGTGAATGTGAATGAGAAACTCTCAGTAATCAGCAACGCAAGAGAAAGGCCTGAAGGGGGGCTCTTAATCCCTGTTTGTTCGTGTTCAGAAGTCTGGTTTGAACTGGGCAGCTCCCAGGTGGGTATAATTTAGAATTTTAATTCATTTCCCCCTTCTGTCATGTTAAGGTTTTCAAGCAGCCCAATTACTATAAAATGAAGGAATTCAAATGAAATATTTCTAATATGAATTACTAAATTTACCTGCGGTTTTGGTCATTACTCCTATCGAGGTATAGTTATAATCATGTCCTGTCAAGGCCGTTCTCAACAGAAAATCGAGAGCATTGACAAAGTTCGATACTGATAAATAATTTCAAAACTATCTGGCTGTAAGATAGTGTCTCACTTTGGAAAGGGAAGTAAGAGGTTTTTTTAACATTAATCAGTGTAGCTTCAAATGTATGTAGTTAACCAAACCCAAATCATGCCATGCTCAGGTGGTTACAAATGTGCTGACATCAGTTCTTTTAGGGATAAAAGTCAATTCAGAAATCAGAAAATAAATGTTTATCCAGTCACTGGTGAATTCAAGCAGGCAGCCACAGTATAGTCACGCTGCAGTAGTCCTGTAGTGGGTTTGTTTTGTACTCATTGGTAAGGTTGTGCCATAAATAGTACTTGGGGGTAGATGTGATATCTATCACTTCCATCCATCCATTCGCTTCCGCTTATCCTTTTCAGGGTCGCGGGGGGCGCTGGAGCCTATCCCAGCTGTCATAGGGCGAGAGGCGGGGTACACCCTGGACAGGTCGCCAGTCTGTCGCAGGGCCAACACACAAGGACAGACAACCATTCACACTCACATTCACTCGCACATTCACACCTAGTGGCAATTTGTATTATCCAATTAAAGACGTGTGAGCAAATTATGTGTTTTGCCACAGGATGTTGTTGTCTGTTGCATGTATACAAAACCCTGGTTAATCCCTG